ACCATTTTTCAAACTTTATAATCATCTATGGAGTCACTCCATTTGCGGACTACCATTTTATCAATAAAGTTTGATCCTTTATCCAATTATTTGTAATTCTTATTTTTTTATGCTTAGAAAAATTACAGTTATTATTGATAGTAATTTTCAAAACAAAAAGAATTAAAGAAGTTAATAATAAAAGGGGTAAAAGCAGTTATTCCAAGAATGGAAGATCTCCAAAGCATGATTATTTTTCTCCTTCTCATTCAAGGAGCCTCTTTTGGTTACTCGCGTAGATATGCGCACGGTTTTTCCAGGGTTGTTATTCGGATAGGGGGTTTCCTCCAAGTTGTTATGTGGTGTTGGGTTTGTCACCCTATATTCCCCAGCTAAGTCTTGATTCAAATTTCTTCAGCTGAGTGTGATTCTCTCCAGCCAAGTTGTGATCAAGCAGATTTTGTAAAGTTATGAAGTTTTTACTCAGTTGTTGAATACTTTATCCCTTCGTGTTGAGATTTGATAAAGAATATCCTGTAGGATATTACACTTTGCCATTTATAACATTATTGCTTGTGTGTGCTCCCCAAGTAGTCAGATAAGGTTCAGTATCTTTCCCAAGTGTTGACTTCTTGTACTGATTTTGAATTAAAATTCCCATGAAATTAACTTCTTGTTATAGTGATGACTTCTTAGTTTATTATATAAACCAAGGATGATGTTTCCCTTTGAATTTGCTATCCCCGTGAAGTTTCTTTGATCTTATCCAGGGAAGTTTATGCAACCACTATTCTTGGTATTGGAGAAGGTTTGTTGGTTTCTTCTCGGCAGATGTTGTATCATTTTCCCTAGCAAAGTCCTTATATTACCTCCTAGTGAAGCTTGGAAGATGTTTGTTATATCCCTGCAGCTTTATGAATTGTTGTTATATGAGTGTGCTTTGTCTATTTTCAAGCAACATTTCCTTTCCCAGAGAAGTTAAGCCTTGAAGCAGGATGTTGTTTCTTCAGTTGATTGCTCACTCTCTTATCGAATTTCCATCTTGGATGTGATTTAGTCGAGTGTCTTTTGTACCCGAGTTTGTTTTGATTGGTTATCCCCAGTGCAATATGTCTGTTTTGTTCGCATCTACATGACACCATTCATTCATACATACATACAACATGCATAGTTGAATTAAAATTCATTGCTCATTTGCATTTGTTGATGTTTCTGTTTATATTTTATCCTCCTTGTAGAGTGTGTATTATCTCTATCCATTAGAATGTCAACCTTAAGCATAAAGTAAACACCCTTTCAGGTTCCCTACCGAACTTATTCCTCGTGGAAGAATTTAGCTTTAGCCTTCCTACCCAGCTCATTACCTAGATGGAATTAATCCCCATTTGAGATTGTTCCTCATTTGGTATAGTCTTATTTGACGGATTCTATCTAGTTTGTTCCTAGATTTAACTTTGTTCCTTGTTAGGAATTGTTTTCTTGCTTTCAATATTGGTTTATACATAACATTTTTGTGTTTATCTTTATTAAACTATCAGACATTTGATAGATGGTATTCACCTCCTTTGACGGTTTCACTCCGATTTGTTCCTGGTTTAAGAGTGAGTTTATTTTGCAAGTTAATACTTTGCCTCCTCATTAGGAATGTGTTTATATATCCCCAGGAAGTCAAAACTCATTTCCCAGCAGTGTTATTGCAATACTATTCTTGACAGCAAGTGGTGGTCTCTTTATTTGAGCAACTTGTATTTGCCAAGTAAGTATGTTATCAGTTTTCCTCCACCAAAAGGAAGTCTTCTTTTGAGATGACTGTTGGTTCCCACAGAAGATTATAACAAAGTTTTACTCTAATGGATGGTTGGTCTCTTCATTGTGATAGAGACAGTTCGTTGGAAGATCCTTACAACAAACTATTACCCTTTTCAAGCGATATCTTGATCAAAGAAGAAACAGTTACTGTTCTTGGTGAAATCCAGAGGTTAGAAGAAGTTTATTACCCTATCCAGGTCAAATTCCTTTGTTAAAGAAGAAGTTTAGATGCGTTCTAGGGGGATTGCCAGAATTTTGGGAAACTTGTTAATGTTAATACACGTTCTACCTTCAGTTGGAAGTTGGTAGTTCTCCTTCAATAACATGGGTGTATTCAATATTATATCCTTTGTGTTTATCATTGTTAAACTATCAGACCTTTGATAGAATAATATTAAATCTTATATCCTTCGGTTCTTTATCATCGTTATCCTATCAGACCTTTGATAGAATGATATCCACTCTTATATCCTTTGGTGTTTATCATTGTTATCCTATCAGACCTTTGATAGTATGTTATTCACTCTTGTATTCTCTGGTTGTTTACCATCATTATCCTATCAAACCTTTGATATATCGTATTCAGTCCACCTTTTGGTGTTTTATCATCGTTATCCTATCATACGTTTGATAATGTGATATTCTCTCTTGATTCTGTTAGTTGTTTACCATATTATCCTGTCGAATCTTTGGTAAATGGTAATCAGTCCACCTTTTGGTAGTTTATCATTGTTATCCTATCAGACCTTTAATAGTATGATATTCACTCTTGTATCTATTGGTTGTTTACCATCATTATCCTATCAGATCTTTGATAAATGGTATTCAGTCCACCTTTTGGTGTTTAATCATCATTACCCTATCAAACGTTTGATAGAATGATATTCACTCTTATATCCTTCGGTTATTTATCATCGATATCCTATCAGACCTTTGATAGTATGATATTCACCCTTGTATTCTTTGGTTGTATATCATTGCTATCCTATCAAACATTTGATGGATGGTACTCAGTCCACATTTTGATTTTTCATCATCGTTATCCTATCAGACCTTTGATAGATGATGTTCTTTCAATTTCTTGTTGTTTACCAACGTTAGACTATAAGATCTTTAATATTTGGTATTCATTCTTATGTCCCGGTGTTACCTACCATCGTTAGCCTATCAAATATTTGATAGATGGTACTCACCTCCTGTGACATATACTACCCATTTAGGCTTTCTTCCTTAACAGGGTTTGTTTTACCTTCTCCTTATTGGAATTTACCCCAATAGAGTTAAGATTTCACCAGTCTCAATATTTATGTTTACCGTCTTCAATGAGTCGATATTATTCTTGTCTTGTCTACCTTCAACCCCAAGTTGGTAGTTTATCGTCGTCCTTGTGTCGTTATTATTCTGATTTTCTAACTTTATCCCTAAGTTGGTATTCTACCGTCATTTCTGAGTCGATATTACCCTCGTGTATTAAGATGATGTTATCTTGTTTCCTCTGTCTCCTATTTGGGTTTTACCCCAGTAGAGTCGAGTCCTGATTTCTCCAACGGAGTTGATTTTCTTCCAATGGAGTCAAGTTTCTTCCCCCAGTCAAGTTCATAATCCTTTCTTAAAAGATTGCCTCCTTGTTTGTTTGTTGTTGCGTTGTTAAGGATTTCCCAATTAAAATTCTTACTTTGCATTTTGTTTATTTAACTGTGATGTTGGCTTTGCCTATTCATAATTATCCTTGGACTCGTTTTGTTCCCCCAGTGATTTATTTTCCCGGTTGAACTCGTTGTCCTAGTCTGTCCTGTTTTGTAGCTTTGTCTATATTATGTTGTTTTTCCTAGTGGTGTCTGGTTGCCCCTGTGGAGTTTGTCTTTTACATTCATAATAATAAGCATTGCATGGCATCTTAGAGCCAAAAATAGGGTTTGTTTTATATTTAAATATATTTAATCGCGTCAAAAAGAAGAGTTTAACCTTTGTATATCCGGATAGAAGACACTTAAATAAGGGCGACTTTTATACCCCAATTTTCTCCCCAAAGATTCCTTTATCATATCATATCATCACAATGCGTCAAGATCACGCATTAGGGTTGTTCAGGAAAAATACTGGTTCTCAAAGGCCTATTCTTTAAAGTTGTAATCTCTAATTTTAGGTCACACTATCCTCAAGCTTAATTCAACATGGTTAAGTCGAGTTTGGTTCCTTATTTCTCAAGATTCTTCGAGATAGGTTCATGTGTTTATTTCCATGCATTCTCTAACGATTAATTTCAATTTTTGACAAGTATGAACATGGTTTAATCAAGATTTCATTATCTCAAGTTCATATGTGTGTTAACAATGCATCGGTTGCAAGAAAAAAATCATGTTTGCAAGTTGATTCAAAGTTGGTTTAACCAAAAGTAAGCATTTGCATGTTTGAGTTCGAACAATGATAAATTCTTCATTATTCAGTATTTTTGTTGATTCTTTGAGCATATGAATCTCCTTGACATCATCTCAAAATTCTCTTTACAAGTCAAGAGCTAATTATGTGCAAAACACTATCAAAAGTTTGAGTACATTAGAGGTCGTTTTTAAGACTTTGACATATTTTCAAGTGATATTCATCCAATTTTAGAGGATCATAGTTCTTTCAATCCTCAACATTTTGAGACGATTCTTTTTTCAACGTATCCTAAATGGTGTTATCTACAAGATTGCATCAAGGAGCTAGGGTAAATTATGCTTAGAAGGCCATGGAATTTAATGGAATGTGTTAGTATCCATTTTAAGATCCATTTTCAAGGCCATTCAAGACTTTAAATCCATCGATTCAATATATAATTCAAATATCAAGAGATGTAAAGAAAAGTTTATGGTAATGGGTGAAAAATAACTTTAAGGCATTCTCGTGCAACATCATTCAATTTTCAATGTTGTTCGAGGTCCAAAGCCCTTATTCAAAATTCAACTTTTCAAGGCATTCATCAAGAAAATTCAAGATTTCTTTGGCCTAATTATCGAGAGGATCATCATGTTGCAAGAGTTCTTTTACAGACTTCCAATTCCACCATTCATGATACTAGAAGAATTCAAGTTTACAAAGAGTAGAGGTTCCTAAACTCTAATGTCAAATTTACATCAAATACGAGAATTTCAAAGTGCTAAGCTTCAACAAATTCTTCAAGATCCAACCCTTGAACCCATATTGTTGCGAAGTCCTTTTCACCATCAAGGATGGTCGCGGTTTCTCCTTTGTCTTTCAATCCTTCACCATTCATCACCGACATTGCTCACCACATGAAAAAGAAATTGAAGGGTGTGGTTAGTGTCCAAGTTAACAATATTATACGCAACACAAAAAGAAACAAGTTCGTTCCAAGTTTTCATCAAATTCACTCAAAAATTCCAACAAAAAGAATAATAAAGTCATGATTTAAGTCAGGCCCAATTAGCATCAATTAACAAACAAAAAGAGTGCAAACAGGTGGAAATTATGGGAGATTGAAGCAATTTTCATGGGCTGTTTGGAGGCCATTTTTTAACATTCAATTTCATATTTTTAACAACACAATTTTTTCATCAAATCCACAATTCCTAGCTCTATATAAAGGTTGTTTAACAGTGATTCAAGGGGAGGGGTTCACTGACAAATTTCAGAAAAATTGAGAGCAAATAGAAAACACTAAACAAGAACTCACCAAACCAGAGCTAACTTGCCGAAAACCGCCACAAAACTCGCCGGAATATCCAGCCACGGCGCCAGAACTAAAAAACCATTGTCTTCTTCCTCTTTACCTCATAGAAGGTTATACTCCTTCACTGAACACAAATCTCTCTCTTTTTCTATCGCTTATGTGTTTATATTTGTTGTTGAGGAACAAATCTTCTAAAAACTTATTGTTTAGGTCTACGAATTTTTGCTGCTCCTTTTGAAAAAAATTTGGATTATTCTAAAAGAGGACAAAAAACTGATTCGGAAAATGTAAAAAAAATTGAAAACCAGAGTTTTCACAGTGGTGCCGCCGCGCCAGTGTCAGAGCACCATCGTGAACTACCCACCTTCATCGCCTCTTCACCTTCTCTCTCTAACATGTTCCATCTTTTTTTTTTGGTTTTGTTTTAAAAGAAAAAAAACATATGATGATGATATTTATATCATAAGGATATTAATGATGATTCATCGAAGAGAGAGAGGGAACTTTTGAAAGTTGAATAAAACAAATTTAACGTTGTTGGTTATGTAGTAACAAAAACCATTGAGTTTACTGCAAAAAAATTCTCTCTTCCTCTCCCTACCTCGTAAACCGCGTCGGCTGCCATTGGAGGACAAGTAGTCCCTCCGCTACTTGTCCTCATCTGAGAAGATAAGGTTAATACTGATTCTCTGTGTGCATACACACTGTACTTATTATGTACCTCAAATCTGAACCTCCTGGTATTAATACTGCATTAAAGTTGACTATATCAAAAGGCAGAGATTTATTTTCTTTTAATTTCTTTGTTTTTAATTCATTTTAACTTTGAAATACCATTTTAAACTCAATTTTCGTCTGAAAATTCTTTAAAAATGCACAAAAATCATTTCCTTTATTTCTAATTTTCTGGAGTTTTTCTGGAATTTATTTTTTATTTTTATTATTTTTAATTATTTTTCACTTATTTGAGTGATTTTAATTAGTTTAAAAATACTTTTTTTTTAAAAAAAATTATCAAAAAATTTGTAAAAATATTTGAAATCACTTCTGACTTTTCTATGGTTTCTTTTAATTTTTCTTTGATATTTTGAATATAGTTTTTTATTTTCCCTTTTATTTTCATTTAAAAACAATTTAAAAATCACTTTCTCATGATATTTTACTTATTAAATACAATTTTATTGTTGTATCTATTCTGGCTGATCTTGGACCATGTGAATTTTAATCATAAGATTCATTAACATCATTGGATCTTGAGTGTTGTATTTAATTCCACAAAAATAGATAAATAATTTTAATCATAGCTTGATTAATCTCTTGGTTCAAATGTGGGATTTAACATTTGTCTATCTCTTCTTCATTCCACTTCCTCTTCATCTTATCCCTTTATTATTTCCTTTTAATTGAACATTCATGGCCCAAGCTTTAGGTTTGAAATTGTCCAAGTATGATTGATTATTGAACCATGGCTCAAAACCTCCGAAGCTTGTTGTTAGGAGACTTTGATTTTATGAATCCTCTAACAAGTCTTCATCAACTTTGACCCAAGTTCTATCTTCAATCATCATTGATAATTTATTTTGGAATTCATCTCTTCTTCATCCCTTTTTCTTTAATCTTGTTTTACATGTTATAGGAGCTTGATTTCTACCATGTCTCTAACATGTATGGTACATACATTGTTATTGACCGGACTCAAAATATGTATGACTTTGACATAAGTCCACTTGCGATTGCTTAACATAACGCTAAATTTGTCCCGATTTAGAAAATGATCATTCATGACCTAAACTTTATTTTTGTAAGTCTAAGTATGGTTAATTTAGAGTCTTTAGTCCAATACCTATGAAACTTGTTGTCAGGAGGCTTTGATTTTATCAATTAACATTAACAATTAACTTTTAACTTTATGCCTTTATTTTTATGCACTTTTATCTTTTAGCATTTACATTTCATACAACTTGCTTATGTTTATTAACTTTTCCCTTTGTCTACTTGGACCCTTATCTTGTGCTTAACTCATTAATAATCCAACTTGAATAATAAAAGACTTAAGGTTATTTCTTGGACTATTGGTTACTATCTCTGGCATATTAATGGAGTTGCGGACCTCTTGGACTTAGGATTAGAAGCCTTACTCTGATACTTTGAGACCTTGAGACCTTTGGATCTTGTATTATTTCATTGTTATTTTGCTTGTATTGGGAAATCTTCTCCGTGTAGGTGTTATTCTATTGTCTTTAAGTGATCTATATGGAACATGACTCTATATTACAGACCTTGTTTTGGATTTTAAAACCATGGGTTTTATTTGATAGTTCTTTGCTTGTGATTTATTTTCACATGGATGATTGATATGCTCTTGGTGTATTTGGTACTTATCGCTTTTAATCCAAAGGATGAGAATTCTACATTGACTTCATAATGTTAAGTGTTGGCTTATTTTTTAGTTAGACCTTTCCTTACCTTAGTTTTTACTTCGTGCTTTACGATAATCTCTTCATCTCCTCCCGTTCTTCTTTAATTTTCAAAATCTTCTCCCTTTTTCAAAAGATTCTTGTTTTCTAACTTGAACCGCTTTCATAATAAACTTGGACTTAGTTCCATGCATTTTCAAAATTATTTTCTTAATTAATTGATCAATAAATCTTAATCAAGATATGACTTCTTTCTTTAATAGTAAAAAAATACAACAAATTCAAAATTTTTCCGCTTTGACTTTTCTCTTTAAAACCTTTTTCTTAAAATTAACAAACACACGAAACTTTTCAAAAAATTTAAGGTGAACTACGAGTACTCTGACCCTCTATTGCACGAAGGGGGTACATAGACTCAAAAGGTTCGCAATTGCGGCAAATACAAAAATTGTAAAAACCACTTCTTTTCTCATCTCCACAATCTCATTTTTTAAATGTTTCTTTTTAGCCAAATACATAGATTTTCAAAGAGGTTCCTGCGGAGTACCGTAGATGTTTAGGGTGCTAATACCTTCTCTTTGCATAACCAACCTCATACCTTAATCTCTATTTTACTTTGAGTTTATTTGCTATTTTCCCGTTCCTTTGGATAAAATAAAAGTGTGGTAGCAACTTTCACTGATTTAGCGAGTTAGGTTAATCTAATGGCTTAGTCTCAACATTTCTATCGCTACAAACTCCCGATAGAGTATATTCAGATCTTGTAAGATGATTTAATACCAACCCACACATCTTATGAAAGACCTTAACATTATCTGCCAAAAATGTGAAAATAGTAATTCTTAAAGAACGATTCGGGAGAATCTTTGAGATACCTTTTCTAGGAGCCTCCTACAAATCAAACAAACCCTTAAGGCTCAAAAACTTCTAAAGGAATGTTACCCTAAACTATCTAATTTAAAACCTCATGGACTAAAGAAAAACTCGATTCAAAACATACCTTATAAAACCTTAAGTTAGAGTCATTCATTATCTACTAACAAGAATCTTGCTCCAAGAAATATCAGTAACAATTATGTCATCAAAGATGACATTATTCCCCTATGACTTTTATGACATAACCTACTAACAAATTAGGTAGAAGGAGTGTTATGTCACATGGCCAAAACTAGAGAAGAACCATCAGCAAACCTAACATATGGAGCAATGATCACATTCATCCTAAGAGTCTTCAAAATTAACTTCTTAGGAGAAAAGTCAATATCATCCAAAATTATAATCAACTCCGCTAACCTTAAAGAATTGAAAGTTAATATCAAGTATTTTGAACTTAGAGATGATTTGATAGATGAGACAGAAGAGGAAGAAGATAATGAAAATATTAATCTAAAACAATTTTGAAAACTATCTCAAAATATAGCTAAAGATGTGAAAAAAATTAAGTCAAAAATATGATGAATAAGACTTAGAGTAATTTTTCTTGATGCTTTCTGTACTCTCCTATTTCATGCATTTATTTTAGTTTTTGTTTCTGTAATTCCTATTCCTTCAAATTAATAAATTATTTTAGTGCCTAATTGTGTGTTATATAAACATTCTTGATTGCTTGTGCCTATAATTTTGTTTCCCCTTAAAATACCTTTGTAAGACATGCCATTAGATATTTTACAAAAAATTTGTCCCACATTTAAAAGTAAAAATATTTTTCTCCTACAAAGTGTAACACTTCCTATGTCATGACTAAGGATTAGGAAACCTTATTTAAGACAAATAGGTTATTCCCACTAAATGTAAAATTTTCCTCATTTTACCTTGAGAAATACCATAATTACTTTAGAATGAAAAGATATTTCACATGCATGCTTATAAATGTTTTCAAAAAATTGTTTGCATTTAATAAAAACCTTATGCCTTTTAGGAAATCCCTCTTTGAGTAATATCTTCTATGTCAAACACATGTTTTTTTAAGAATCTTTGCCATCTCTCATTACTACTTGATATAAAACCCATGATGTTTCAGTCACATGATTTATCCTTGTTTTTCATAATTGTGATATTTGATAAAATGCTTTATATTACTATATACCATGATATTTTCTATGACATATTTGCTAAATATTTTCTATATATGTTAAAATGCATTATCTCATCTTACGTTAGCTTTAAAGCTTGATGTCTTTTACAAGGATATTTTTATTGATTGTATGGATAAATGTGTTATATTTATACTATCATGTTATATGTTTGCATATATGCATTGTTTACCCGCCTTTTTGGTTATGACAAGGGGAGAGAAGTATATTATCAGTGGGAGAATATA